ATTAATATAAATATTTATAATAAATATTTTAATTTAGAAAACAATTACAAAAAAATATTAGAGACAAAGTTTTTTTGCCTTGTTTTGCACATCAAACGAATCTCTGTGTAGGAGATATTTTTAAAATATCAAATTAATTTATAAAGACTTCTAATAAAGCTATTTGCCTTGTTACTTTTTTTAATAAGTCTACATATTTTTTAGCTAAATTACATACAGAGCAACAAGAACTTTATGGAAAATATATTGCATTAATGATGCCAAATGATACTTGTTGGAATAGTCATTACTATTGTTTTAAAAGTATTCTCAAAACCAAAATTGCTTTAAAGGTATAATTATATTTAAGTTTCAACTATTTATTTGTAAATATTTTTAATAATATTTTTTTAATATTATAATATTTAATAATTTATTTTATAGGCATTAGTTATTAAAAATTCTATTAAGTCTAAAGTAATTCCACCTGAAATTTGTGATACGATTGATGATAAACAATGGTGGCATGACTTACAAAATTTAGAAACTTTAATTTATCCATTTTGTGCTATATTAAATAAACTTCAGAGAGATAGAGCTCAATTACATGATGTGCTACATGGTTTTGGATATCTAATAAAAGTTATTAAACAACAAGAGACTTCTGACTTTCGGACAAAGATGATTGAAAAATTAGAACGACACTAGAAACAATGGGAACAACCATTGTTATTAATATCCTTTTTACTTCATCCAGCATATAGATTAACAAAATTTAACAAAGATATTCCAACATTAAATTTAGTTATATTGGGTAAATGGATAATTTATTATTATATGGCCTGGTTTAATGAAAAACCTTTAAAGATTCTTTCTGAATTGAATGATTAGTTTGATAAAAAATATCCTTTTGATGATGAAAGCTTCGATAATTTTGATAGAGATATTATAAAGTACTGGAAATTTGTTTCATGAAGTAGAGCAAGTGAATTAGGTAATATTGCATTACGTATTTATTCAATTTGTGTTAATTCAGCCTCAGTAGAAAGATTATTTTCTACTATAGGCTTTTTTCATACAAAACAGCGAAACAAATTAAAGGTAATAATTTAGATATTAATTGATAAAATTTCTTAGTCTAATTACTATAGAATAAGAATAGGTTTAACTTAAATTATTTGTATTTTTAGCCTTCAAAAGTATTAGCTATATATCAAATTCGAGCTAAAATTTATCAAGATGAAACAAATGCTAATATAGACTATGCCCGGGAATGTTTTTATTCTAATAGTATATTAAATAATCAGCTAGATAAAATGGAAATAGAGAACTTTGAAGAGGCACAAGATGACAAAAGAAATATGTTAATAGAAAATGATATTGAATTAGAAGAAGAATGGCATAAAATCATTCAACATTGGATTGAATTGTTAGATGATGATGCTGATTTATATGAAATTGAAGATGATGATAGCGATAATATTTTAAATAGTTTGTTAACTATTTTTGTAGAAAATCTTGATGATAATATTTGCCAACAAGTTAATAATTTAGAACATCCCACAGAAGATAACTCAGCTAAATGGAATTTATATGATTTATTTGTTTCAGACTTAGAAATTCTGGATTATTTTAATATGCTTTAAAGATTTTTTTTATTATCGCTTTTTTTTTTTATATTATATATTATGTATTTTTTTTTTTTTTACATAATCGTTATACTTTTGTTTTTTTTATGCTTTTTTATTGCAATTTTTATAGTGTCAGTATATAAATCGGTATACAAATCGATATAAATCGGTATAAATAAATTTGAACCAGGTCAAAAAAATGTCTTGTCTTATGACTTGTCTTGAACCAGTTAAATAACCAAGGTTCAAAATTCCAAATAAAGACATTAACAACACTGCCCCAAATGGCTTGGATAGCAACTATAATAGGTGTGGGAAATCTAAAAAGAAATACTATAATGTGTATATAAGTATGTATACTTAATAATAACTATTTTGTACATATTACAGAAACTTAAGTATAGCTTATCTCGGATGTAGGATATGGCTTGGTAAAGCTTATACATTATAGCAATTATTTGGACGATTTTATCGCATTACTAATCTTAATAGATATATCTATGGGCTATTGGATTTGAACATAAATGCCTTGGGCTCAATCCAATTATATTAGATCCAAATTTGTCAAGCCCAGGCCCAACCCAAAAGCCCATAATAATATTCAAGCCCAACCTATGCTAAACATATCCATGGATATCCATGGATAGTTCAAGCCCATGCTAAACTCTATATATAATATAATATTATACCCAAAACATTTTGTAAGAACATAAATCAATTAAAGTCAAATTTTATATCTCTAAATTATTGCTAAATAAAAATTCTAGAATAATACATAAGTTAATGTTTACAATATTTATAACATAAAAAAGATTAATAATTAAACAACTAATAAGAAAATAAATTATATAGATTGAATTTTGGACAAGTGTACTTAATTCTAAAAAAAATCGCAATACTCTTAAAAATCTATATGAAGATGGATTTTTAAATATATCGCTACAAACTTCATCTGATAAGACATTGTGGGATTGTTTTTGTAATAGTTATAGTGTGAATTTTAGAGGAATAGATAGAAAAATTCGTATATTGTTAATTATTGCAGAAAATTTTACTTATCAAAAATTAAAAAATAAACTAGAAGTAAAAAACTTTATTTAGTTCAAATTTATAAAAGACTAGTTTGAAACTGTCTTTATTAAAATTTTAAATCAAAAAGCTAAATTAATTAGCATTTTTAGATATCTCCAAATATGATCAATATGGTGCAAAAATTTTCTTGTATTAACAGACCTAGGTGTATTGTATTAGAAAAACCTACTATTACTTGCTCAAAAATGTCTATTGTTAAAGAGAAAGAATTTGAATTATTCTTTATCAATAAAGATAATGTAAATATAAATTCTTATAAAGTAGATTCAATAGCACAATTACCTGTTCTTTATTTAAAGAACCAAAAAGAAGTACTTTGGAAAAAATTTTCTGCTATTTATCTAAATAGAATAAAATGTATATCTTTTATAGCTTGCTTGCAAAATAGTCATTTTCAGTATTGAGAAGACTTAGGAGAATTATGTATTATATATAATAATTATGAATATTAACTTTTTAAAGATTTGATTGAAATAATTAATAAAAGCATTTCATATAAATCACCAAGGGTTTGTCAAATTTTAAAAAAAATTATAGTGTTTGTAGTTGGCCTAAATTTGTTAACTTGACTAGGTCAAAATTTAAAAATTGACTTACCCACTATCTAGTTTTTCTAAATTACCAGACTATATATATAACTAAAAATCAACTAAGCCAAATTTAAAAAAATCGACTTAGTTGGCTAAGTCAATTTTATTAGCAAACCAAATTAACTATAGTCACTAAAAATTTTTTTTTATATATATAATATTAATAAACTTATACAATTTTGTAGAATAACCTTATTAATGAAGTAGAATTATTGCATTGCTATCTAAAACGAAATTATAAAAAAGAATTGGTTATAAATAAAAATAGTACAATTGATCATATAGGTTGTATTAATAATTGTTTGTTGTTTGCTTTTGGTGAATGTAAATTCCAGCATTTTTTATGATATTCAGAATGTGATAAGTTTTTTAACATATTTGAAGATCTAATAAGTAAACTAGATAATTTATACTACATAAAACTTACAGAATATCAGGAACAATTAACATGTTATTTAGCTCATCAAACTTATAAAACATATCTAAGCGCACAATTTAACTCTATCTTATATAAGCTTGATAACAATAAAGCAATTATTGTGGTTGACTATAAGATGTGAATTTTATCTACAACAGCCTGAGAAACAAAAAGTCAGTTTTTTGGAAAGCGGGAATGAACACTTCATACAATCTTGGTGTTTCAAAAAGACAAAAATAATAGCAATAATTTGGATATTTGTGCTTATGATTATTGGAGTACTGTTACCAAACAGGATGCCTAGTTCACAGCATCCTGTTTTGAAGCAGTATTCATGACAATAGATTCTAGACCGCATTGGATTAAAATTATCTCAGATAATAGAGAACACTATCATAACTCGGAATTAATGTCAATAATCAGTTACTGGTATAATTGGTACAATATAGAAGTACATAGATAAATTTTTCTCGAGCCTGAACAGGCCAAAACCACTGTTGATTCTCACCATACAACTGCAAGTAGATTTAATATTCACTAGTCTAAATTCAAAAAATAAATAAATAAAAATAAATGAAAAAAAAAAAAACAAAAAAAAAAATTGAAAAAAAAGTAAAATAGACATTTTAAATATCATTCAAATTATTATTTGATATATTATTTGAATACATGTAATTCTGTGGATATGAATATCTACACAATCACATAAAACTCAGATTATAAATAAAGTAAAATAATAGATCAATTAAACAGCATTCAAAATATGTTATCTGACATAGTGTTTTAATTTTTTGTTTTTTTTTGTATTCTACTAATAAACAATATTAATTTTAGATTGTGCATGCAATTAAAAGATATATTAGAATTAGATATGATCTTACTGAAAGAACAAATATTGAAGAAGTACTTCAAAATCTAAGTGGAATATCCATATCATATATAGAACCGAATCATAATCAAAACGATATAGAATCAAATTCAGGATCATTAAAGTAATTACTTTTTTAAAATTAATATAACAAATTTTAATGACTAATATTGATATAACAGTAAAAAAAACCTGTATATTATAATTGTACAGGTTCTTTACTATGCTAAATTAATTATAATATACTACCAACACCATTAATCATAGCTTTTATAATAATAAATTTTGTAATAATCAATTATTAAAAATACACTTTATCTAACTAAAATTTCTTATTCAATATTCTGAATCAACTCTTATTTCTATTTTTGATAATATATATATTGTATTTGTTATCTTTACAATATAATTAGCCAGAACCTAGAAACTAATACTACTAAAAAATCCAAAACTATACCTGGTATTTTCAAATAGTTTGAGTAGTCCTGGCCTATAACAGATGAATTTACAGAATATATTCATGCCCGTTCTCTTTCTAATATAGGTATATAGAACAACTTTTAACCTGTGCAAATTGCTCTATTCTGTAAAAGACTATCTCTAATATTTTCTAAGTCATCTACACCAAAAACCACATGGACAGTATCAACTCCAAAATTACTGACAAGCAAGAAAATTAATAAAGAATTATTATCAAGTAATATCTCTTAAGTTGTAGAGTTTGTGTAACAATTTTAGCTTAAAAATAGCATAAAT